GCAGGAATCTGCTGCCTGAGGACTGAATGAATCAGCAGCAGAGCAGACTGCTGCAAAGAGAAGGGACTAATGAACAGGAAGCAAAGGACATGGCTGTCCATGACATGGAGGAAATCCAAGCTACTTCTGTACCTATTCTTACTGCTATTGTAGCTGCATCCACTGGACAATTCAAGGCGCAGATCATACAGTTCCTGAGTGGAAGAGCATGTAGAGTCTAAGGAATTATGCTTATATGACATGATATATGAATAGTATTAGAAAAGCTATTTTATGCAGTGCCATCTTCCCTAACACCATCCTACTGCTCAAACCTTTTTTGCTAAGTGCTGTAATGTTGACCTTGAATTTTAGGATCTAGGATTTTAAAGAGTAGGCTAGGCTGGAATTAACAGTAGCTACAGACATCCCATATTCATGAATTTTCTGCTACTCTGGGCCAAGAATTGCATCATAGGAAGACAGTTCCTTTCCAGTTTTCAAAATCATGAGTATTTCAGGAAATAGGGTTATATAGTAGCTGTATGGTACCATTATTTGCATCCCCAGGACGGTTTTGGAAGCCTGATAACTGTTTTATCATTGTTACATGAGTGAGATTAATCACCTGACTGAACCACAGTGGTAATTCCTTTACTAATGTTTATTGCTGTACCACTGACAGTTTCAGCGTTCCAGCATTAGTGATGAGTCACTGAAGCACAACAGCTTTAACTCTTTGATGAAGGATTACCTTTAAGCTTGTTCTTTATTAGGATTTGGCTGTATTCTAGTTGCCAGGAACTAAAACCTTGCATTTCCTTTTTCTGCACTGAACCCCTCCCTATCTTACCTCTCACATCTACTGTTTGATTTAAAAATATGAAAATGTAGTGTATTTAATTCATGGGAATATTTAAACTATTTCCTAGACTGCAGTGCTTTTCTACATTTGATTACCTGTGGTAACTGAAACTCAGCCTTAGGTGAGATGGAAGAGAAGAATGTCTTATCATTACAGGACTAGTGTGCATGGTACAGTGTCTAGGGCAGATAGGCACTAGTAATTGGGACCTGGGACATGGATATTAGAAATGCTGGATCTTTGAAGTACAAGCATGTTTTTGACTATTTGCAGGATTTCGTACCATTCTTACCATGAGGACCAGTCATAAAAACCAGCTGGAGTTGTAGCCTTGCTGTGACTGTTTGCTGGAGTTACATAGGCATCATATATGTTAAAGTTACTATTAGTGGCTATTAATACCTTGTATAGCTAGATCTGTACTGTCAATTCTTATTACTCATCAGTTGTTAGCAGCTTTAAGGATTAGAGGAGCTCCTGATGGTGCTAAATAGGTTATATATTTATGTGAACTGATAAACAGAGATTCCTAAGTCAGTTTGTTATTTCTGTGGACTCAACTTGCGCTGTGTGAGCTACAAGGTCAGCCCAAACTAGCAGTTCCAAGCCATGTGATGTGTCTTTCATGTGCATAAATCCAAACCATCAATCTTGAAATGCCCTACTTGCTGCTGGAGAGAGCCATCATAGCTGCCTGTTACAAGACAAGCATACCCCTGCTTTCTGGTATAGTGGAAGAACTGGAGGCAGACATCTGCCAGGCACTGGAACCTATGGCATGGGCAGGAGCTGGTGTCCTCCACACTGACCATGGTACCAGGAGAAACATAGCCACCTCAGAGGGGCATGGCACTGGTGCTCCTGAACCTGGCCAAGAGGCCTGCGTTAGTTGTAGTGTCAATGGCAGTTTAACAAATGACCTATTATTTCCCCACAGTGGTACTTTACTATAAAGTCTGTCGTGTCACAGAAAGGCAATTCAGACCAGGTCATTCAGTGTGTGCCCTTCTGCCCCCAGTCTCTTCTCGTTATACAGAATTGAGTCATCCTTTGGCCCTGTGGAAGAAGAGACTAAAAGAGCTTCATCTTGGATTATCTAATGCTGTTGTGTTTGGGAAGTCTTCTTGAGGTACCAGACTTAGTTTTGGCTTCTCTCTCCAAATCAGCTAGCGTGAGTGGAGTTGCAGACATCTTCTGGCTTCTTAGGTACTTGCCCTAGCTGTTGAGCCTGACCCAGAAGCATTTGGGGCATTTGCAGCTTTCTTTTTGTGAAAGACCCTTCCAGGCCTGTTGTGAAAAAGTGCACCAAATCAGGCATCTCAAGTGGGGTAGGAGGGAGAACCGCCAGATGTGAAAATCCTGATGTCAACCTGGGACTCCAATCAGCTGAAAACCATCAAGATTTAGCAGGTTTTGTGCAAGGTCATCTACAGAAACTTAAAATGTTAATAAGGTTAGGTACTGAGTGGAATTTTTTAGCATCTCACTGGCACCTGAAAGCAAGACTTCAGTCACTTTGGATGGACTCATCTCACCTGTCTTTAGACATACATCCACAGTGCAGATACATGTGTCTGACTGTCACTGCAGCCTTACTTTGTATTCACCACAAAGAAACAGGAACATTCAGGGCATGATTCATCTGACCTACTTTACACATTTATGTGAAACTGTTCCTATTATGGCACTTCAGTGTTTAAATCCTTGTGATTCAAAAATGTACCGTCTATTGATGTCTTTGAAATTATTTGTGAATAATCTTGCTGTTACAGTAGTCAGTAGGGTTCAGTTAGTAGGCTGTCAATAATGTATTCATATTCTTCCTGCAGAGCAAAAAATTTCTGTGTGTTGAATTAATTTGTTTTAATTTTGATTTTCTGCAGAAATTATTCAGAGGCTGCTTCTGTTTGTTGGAAATTCTGACATGACCATGAACATTGTCTTCTTTTGCTTCAGATAAACTTCGAAGAAGCATGCCTAACCTTGCTCGGATGCCAAGTACCCCCACTGTTAACAGCAGTGCTGGCTTTGCTAGTTCTCCAGTCACTGTGAGGAACAGTCAGAGCTTTGACTCCAATTTGCATGGAGCAAGTAATGGAATTTCAAGGTTGCAGTCATGTAGTAAGTACCTGTGTTCTTTGGCTGCGCATAAGGAATTGACAGAGTGGTAAAATAGATGTACCAGTCACTGATCCTCTGCTTTATGAAAAGTTAAAATCAGACTGTGTTCATTTTGAAGCAGATTTTAGTATCGCTCAGGATTTTCGAAGTTTCTATTTTGGAAAGCAAATTCTGCCAATCTTGCTATACAGTATTGAGTTTCATCACCTCCTTTTATTTTTCCTTTGCCCATTCCTTTTGTGCCAACTATAAAACTAAAATTATAATAACAGTAAGTAGTAGTAGTAGTAGTGCAGAAGCACTATAGTGCAATTAATTGCTATAAACTTATATTTTTAGTTTTGATACTAGAATCAACAACTGCTTTTCTTGGCAATTTATACAATGCTGGGTTTACAGTACACTGTATAAATACTATCTTAAAATACATGACCTCTCTCCTACTGAAGTTGAGCCACTTCTGAGCAAATGTGGTAAACAGAAGGTTATATCCTCAGGTGTAATATACTTGTTGAGTAGGGGAATTAAAATTACTCTGTAATTAGTTCAGTTTAGGTGACTTCTTGATGGGGGAATAAAGAGAGTATCGATCTAGTGGATGTTAAGTTATTAATATAGAACATGTCTTTAAATAATTTTCTAAGAGTCGAAGAAGGATTGGCTTGTATGCGCTATGTTAGTTTCATGTGCTTCAGGCTTTTGACAGTTTGGTTTTGGTATGTGGCCTCTGAAACAGACGCATGTCTGGTTGTACACCAGAGGGCAGGATTGTGTAGAAAATCTATATGTAAAGCTTCTGGAACCCATAGCATTGATTTAAAATGGTACTTTACATAACATTGGCCTTGGAATATGCTGTTATATTCAAGATCTTTTTATAGCCTTTTGATTGTTTGTATACATAAAGCTTAGACTTCTATGATGTTTTATAGTGCTTTAAGCAATGTTCCTTAAGATGTGGTTATGGCAAGCAAACTTACAAAAATCTAAATGATCTAACTAATTAATTTATACCTTCAGCATTTTCTCCTACTTAAAGCTCTAATTGTATAGGTGGAATTACTGTGCTTGTAACAGCTAATAAAACCTTTTTGAGGGGAGAAAGAAGAGTGAGGGTGAGATTTTTGTTCAGGATGGGAACGGAACAGGTTATTTTAGTTCAGTGCAGTGTTACTAGACACAGTATTGAATCCAAGGGACTTTTCAGCAGTTTGTCATTAGTAAGTAAATTCATAATGATACATATAATGATTTATCCCTATTCATATCTCTCTAGAAATGAGCAATACTACCTGGCATCATCTGTTGCATATTGACCTTGCTGCTTCCTTTTCTACCACTCTTTACAGTTCCGTCACCAGGACAGCTTCAACACAGAGTTCACAGTGTGGGACATTTTCCAGTGTCTGCCAGACAGCCTCTCAAAGCTACTGCATACGTAAGCCCAACCGTACAAGGTAGTAGCAGTAGCAGCAGCAGCATTCCAGTGTCCAACAACGTGCAGTTATATTCTAACACTGGGATCCCAATGCCAAACAAGACTGCCAGTCAAGGGATTGTAGGGCGCAGTGCTCTTCCAAGACCATCACTGGCCGTCAATGGGAGTGGCATCCCCAGAAGTAAAATTGCACAGCCAGTTCGAAGGTAAGAATTAAACGGGCCTCCTTCCGTATGTGGATGGCTTTGGGTTAGATTGTGTTTGGGTTTTTTTGTTTGGTTGGTTGGTTTGGGTTTGGGTTTCTTCTTATCTCCTGAATATGCAACTAGGCTATAAACCAGAAGATCTTCTAGCTCCCGATGCTGAGTCACTGAATGGGTGAAGATTTTTTTCCAGAAATAGTGATAGACAGTTCTTGCTGGTAGCTCCTAGTAAACTATGATAATTGATAGAATGTAATCACATATATATAAGAACGGTTTGCCACCTGTCAATAAGAAATAAAAACAAATGCATCCCTGTTGTCGTAAATGGCAGTAGACTGCAAAAATGCAGCTTGTGATGTTATGGCATTGTGAGAAAGAAACTATCCTGGATAGTACAGGCTTGGGTTGAACTAGCATGTCTTCAACTCCAACTGGGGGACAACAGGCAAAGAGGGAGTCCTGGAGTATCATATACTTGGCAATGAGGTATGCTGTTAAGCGAATGTATTTTTGCATTTTTCCAAGAGAATTTAATTTCCAAATTATTTTATTTTTTTAGGGTGAGTATTAAAATACGCTTGAGTAAAGAGACTGTCTTTTGATAACCTTATCACAGTTGGGAGTTAAACTCTTAGCTGTATGTTCTGTAATTAATAGGTGATGAAGTTTCTCAAAGAGAAATGTCTATCGATTTGCATCAACTCTTCCAACTACTTCTCCCCATCACATGCATCCCTCCTCTTGTGAGGGCCTGCTGTATGACCACCTGGTTTTCTGTTGGATGAATTGTCACTGCTTAGATCTCACCATTTTCATACTTCTCACTAGATACTGGCTAGATCCAGAGTCACTTCGGTTGCTCACATCCTCTCTTTGGTTGAGTTACTTGGGAATTACACTGACATGACTGAATACAGATTTTGACCAACTGAGGTGAAACTTTGTTAAAGAGCTGTCAGGTTTCTTCTTTGATGAAGCCTGTACCGTGAGATTTCTGTTATAACTTCCTTTGCTCTCTGCTGGAACTCTCTCTGTTAGAGCTCTTTATAGTAGATGGTTTTCTTTCCATTTTTTTTTTTAACTTTCCCCCACTTCAGAGTCTTCTGCAGAGCTCTTAAATCTTTCATAGCAACATGTAAGAAACATATTTCCTGGGCCATGAAGGCCAGTCCCTTGCTACTTGGTAACTTTTCATACAACAGACAATATTAAAGAAAAACAAAGTTAAGAGGTATCAGTGGGAGGGTGAGACACTTCACTCTCAACACTGGTTTTATTAGAAGCTGATTCAAATCAGTAACAAAGCTATTTATAGTCCAGAAAGTCAGGGCTCCTGTCCTCTTACCTTCATATGTACCTTAGCCTTAGTATATGTTGCCATAGAGTCAGACAATGATCACTGAAGATGGATGGTCTTTGCACTGTGGGAATGACAAGTTTATAGGACTCTAAAAGCACAGGCAGGTTGGAGCTCAGCCTAAAGTTCTTTAAGACCCTTGATTCATTTTATTTATGTATATGGAAAATAAGGGAGGTTTCAGTTCATATGTATTTTTCTTGGAAGCAGTTCAGCCATCAGAGGCAGATTTTCTCTCTGTTGATTTTTGTCACCATGGCCATTTCTATGGTATTTCACATTATGAGTTCAAGAGTCTAGATTCTTTCAGGATACTGAAAAATTAAACTGTTTTTATTCATTAGCTGATTAAAAATAGAACAGGTCTTTTGTTTCTTAAATAAATCAGATGTTCAGGGATAAGTACACATTCAGAGTAGAGGTGTGTCTTCATACCTATGGCCAGGCTGTTAGGTAGCCAAATTATTGGTGGTTCGATATTTAAAATAGGTTTTTAGACATTTTATGTAGGGCCTACATTAGGGAACTTCAGTATTTACTGCATAGGATCAAACACAGGATAAGGGAGTGCTTTTAATAATCTGTAAAATAAATTATAACAGACAAGATAACAACTTGGCTAAATATTAACCACTTTTCTCCTTGCTGTTGGAGATTCATGGATCCACAAGTAACGTAAAAAAGTTGTAACTGTACAGTCCATCTTCTCTTGGCCTTACAAGTGAGGCAGCACTTTTTTTTGTTCTTACTGAATGGATTCACACAATGCCTCAGCCCTCTCCAGCTCCATGCTTGGGGTTTCTTGCAGACCCCTGCCTTCCAGTCCTCCACTTTCTGTCCTTAGATGAGGCAGCATGGCAAGGTGAGCTGGGAGACAAGCAGGATAGCTAGGCTGCCTCACAGTGACCAACAAAGAGAAGTATTGATGGTGACCAGGGTCAGCCAACCGTCCCAGTCTCCATATAGGTCTACAGTGATGAGGCGGGTCGCAGCTAAAGCCAGGAGGTCAATCAGCAGCTCAGAGTCTGGATCAACCCAGGTACCAGGCACAGGCATGGCAGCAATGTGAGCTCAGCTCTGGAGCCAAGGTGGGAGGCTTGCCTGTGTCTGCTGCCTTGTGCTGGAGCCAGTCACTGCAATCCAGCTGGTGACGGAAAAGTAGAAAGGGACTGCAGACCCTCAAAAACTGTTATCTCAAATCACATTGCATTATATTGACAGCATGTGCCTGTTTGAGATGGTTTTCAACGCTGGCACATGTTTATGTTCACTGCCTGGGATGTACAGTGGTATTCTTAGTTATTTTCAACTTAGTTAATTATTCTTTACTTTGGCCCTCTCCATTTTTTTTTTGCCCTCTCACAGAAGAAGTGTGAGAACAAGGCTTGAGACCTGGCTTTATAAGAAACAATTTCACAAAATTGAGATGCTTTATTTTCAGCAAATTCTGGTGAAATAAAAATAAGTTTACAGCATATTAGAGGTAACCTTCCTCACCATCAGTGTGTTGGCAGTCACATCAAGTCAAATGGTTGGTTTTCCTTTTTTTAATCTTACTTGAAAGATTTGAAAGATACAGCTAACGCAGTAGTACCCGGAGGCTTTGGAATATGGTCAGGAAACATTTTATAATAAGACCTCATTGATTAATGAGAGAGGCAGCTTGGGTGTGAGGGCGGAGGCCTGGAGGATGGCGAGTTCCCAGCTGGAGTAGTGGTGCTGGGAATGGCGACTCTTGGACTTCAGCTGTGGGGTGGAAACACATTGTCATGTGTCTTGGATAAAAGGGTCTGCAGCAAGATTTGGTAGAGTTATTCCACTGCTAAGATGTCAAAAATCTTTAGTGCCTGCACAGTGATTTTATGATGTTCTGTTTTTTCATGAGCATGCTGAGCACCACAGCTTTTGGAGAATATTTCCCATTAGATCTCTGTTGACCATAGTGAAAAAAATAGCATTTAATCATCTCTAGCCCTGAAAACAAATCTTCCCATTTAGAGGGGTTTCATGCCTCATGACAATTATTCACCAAATTCCTGTTTACAGAAATTTTAGTCTGTGAAGACCAGGAACAGTAATGGGGTCTCATTGGAAGTGGCCTTAATTTCACCATAGATCTTTACATTTGCATTAGTGCGAAGCCAGAAATGAACCAGTGATGTCTCTAAGTAAGCCATAAAGCCAGTGTCACTGGAGAAGTAAAGGATGTTTTTTAGCTTGATCTTTCACATGAAATATGACTTCCTTTGCCTTTTTCTCTCATTTGGTTAATACAGTTTTCTTCAGCCTCCAAAACCACTTTCGTCACTCAGCACGATGCGGGATGGGAACTGGAGAGACGGCTGCTATTGATGAAGGATACCCATCAACAGTGGAAAATAACGTGGATTTCATTACCCAGCTGGCTGGGTAACAATGATTTGGGAAAGGAGGGTCATACAGTATTATTTACCCTAGGATTTTAATATGTAACCATCCATAATACAATGTCATTTTTTAAAAATGAACATCTTGTCAAATACTAAATATTGCACTTAATCAGTTACCTGAACAGCTGCATTGTTATCAAACTAACAATGACAGTGTTGGCATTTGGAACTGAAGAAAGTACCAGAATATTTCCTTGGAAAGAACTAGGAGATAATGCTTTGGGGCAGCTCTGCCATACTGAAATTCTAAGTTAATTTATTCAGTGTAAAGTCATCATGCATTTTTTTTTAATTTGGGGGGACTTATGTAAGTGCTTGAATTTTTTTTTCTAGTGTTTCCAGTACATTTTATTTTGTGTACTTAAGTTCATTTAAACTTGCCTGAACCTTGAACAGCAGAGAGATAATTTAACTTTTCTGTGCCATAAATAATATTTTTGGGGTAATGTACTTTTTTAGCGCTAGGAGCATATCTTACAAATTGGCAATACAAAGCAGTATATTTATGTTGCAGAAGCACAAAAAAGAAAGTAGCATTCATTGGAAATTACCATCCAGCTGGGTCAGCATGGTTTTGTTGGTCTTTCACCATTTGTTCAATTGTTAATTTATTGTCATAGTGTTTTGTATTTAAAACGGCAGCAAAAGTCACATTGCACTTACAAAATGATCTCTAAAACTACAGTTGATTTTCAGTACTTTATTACAAAAGAATTAAATTGTAACATTTTATTAACAGTTGCTTATGAAAAATGAGTTTTAATGCAAAGAAATTTTTTGATAGATCTTTTACAAAATCCAATTGCACTAATCAATGCTTTCTTATAATGGCATATGACTTAATATTTGATTACAACTGTGTATACTGCTGTTTTGGAATGTTTCAGAAATAAAGAATCTATTTCAGCAATAAGGCAGCTCTTGAGTGTGCAGTGTAAACATTGTCAGAATTTAGCAACTGACATCTACTTAGCTGCTGAAGTTTTTATCACTTAGTATTTGTAAAGGTTATGCTGGATTTTTGCAAATAGTAACTAAGTAACTTAAGTTCAGCTGAAAACTTCTGGATTTTTTTAATTGTGTTACGAAGCCACAGTATGCATTGAAGTATGCATGTTTTTTAATCTTATTATGATCTTAAGATATTTTTTTTTCAGTTCAGTGTTCAGATTCTGCAAGTGCAAATATGACTTGCAGTGGGAAACAGATTGTGTGCCAAGTGAGTCTTTCACCGTGGCTCTGAATTTCTTTCAGTTTTGCTCTGAATTTGCTCAAGGACCTGCTTTTCTTAAATGGGCAAGTTAAATAAAAAAAAGGAGAAGCCTTTAGTGGTGAGTAAAACCTTCATTACACTGAGCAGTGATTGTATAGTAGTGCAGTAGTATGCCTGCACAGCATGACATTGTTTAACAGACATAAGCAATTTTTCATGTTAGTTCTTTTAATCCAGTTAAAATCCATTTTATATAAAAAAAAAAAAAAAAGCAGACCTGTTGAAAAGGGTATCAGTAAATATTCCAATAAGGAAATTATCTCTACACAAGGTAAGTATGCCAACACAAGTGTCCCAAACTTACCTTCTTTGTAAGAAACTTTCATTGGAAGAAATTACTGCTGGTTAAAGCAATCAGTCATTTGTGGATAAACTGTTGTCTTGAACCATTTATCTCACTTTCAGACTGATTGTGGTGGGGGTGCTGAGCCAGCCTGGGAGAGTGCTTTGATATTTGCCTGTGACAAGGAGGGCTGCAGAACCTCTCCGATTAATAAGCTGTCGTGGTGTCTGGTGCTAGGGAACCAGCGCTATCTGTGTCATGAAAGATGGCTGGAGACCAGTGGCAATGATTAGCTTCTGCTCGTTGCTGCCCATTCCAGCCCTGGTCAGAGCTGTCTCTTCACTCTGTTCCCTAGCAGCAAGATTTTATCTGTTTTCCTCCATTATCTGGGACACCACAACTACACCACCACTACGGTACTCTCAACTTTAGAAATAGGTTGCAACTTTTGGAGGTAATACTGGATTGTACACAGGAGGGCAGTATATACTTTGAAAATGTTTTCTTTTTGGTAGTTAAAGCTCTTCTATTTTCCAGGCTCTTGGTTTGAACCCAGTGCATATGTTTCTTTCCAGTGTTGTTTATGTATGATGCCAGCATGTAAAAGGAAGGTGCTCAACTGCTTATAATTTGCATTTTTAAATTTCACACTACGAAGTGTGTCTTGAATTGGAGAGTCAAGCATTTTGGATACAATGAGCTCTTTGAGAGGATGCCACTGTTTTCCCCTTTTTAATTGTCCTGTTCCTTGCAATACATTATGTCAGGATTTGGTAACCTTATAACTTTACTGTTCTAAGTGTTATTGTCAAGTACCTGTCGCATCGAATGCTGTCAAACTTCAGAAGGAAACCCAAGGTGTGAGCAGCTTGATCTCTTACACATTCAAAAGAATTGAGAGAATCACACTGGTTTTCAACCACAGGGTGTGGTACTGCTGCTGTTTGCCTGTTGTTGGTGGAGCTGACTGTCTCCCCTGAGATTAGCATCAACAAACTAGGTACTACTGCACAGTGTCATGTACTTCACTGAAGTGTTACTGGGGGCAAACCATGTGGAATATGCAACACAAAAGCACCTCTGTCATGCTTAATTTTGTGAGAGGCAGAATCTCCACCAGGGCAATGGGAAACATCAAGGTAACTCAGTTATTTTTTAAAATAAAGACTCAAACTTACTTTTCACAACCAAAACTTTGTTTCTAAATATAAGGGAACATTTGAGAACTCTGTCTATGCCCCCTCTTTGGTGGTTTTCTTTTGGCCCATGATTACAAATACCACTCCTGTCTTCTTGTTGTTGCATCTCAAAGATTGCCTACCTCCTTCTGTTGAAATTGTAGTTGGGCTCAGCTCTTGAGCTGATGGCAGAGCCATGACTCTCAGCCTTTTTCTCTAAGGTTTTTTCCCCCTCCCTTTTTAGTCACTGGGGATAAAACCTCTACATTTCCAGCCATTCAGCCCCATAAATGTCTTTGTCTTTTCTAGAACCCAATATTCTGGGTAAGTCAAAGGCCTGCATGCATAATAAATTTCCTTAATAATTTTCCTTTCTGTAGTCTACAGCTAGTGCATTCATCCATTATCTCCTCACCTGAAGTCATCTTTGGATTTGTAGTGTCTTCAGCATGAGACCTGCCAAACTAAAAGTATAAGATCATTTTCCTCTCTCCCTGCTTTCACCATGTCACTGCTTTGACCACTTCTTGTGTATCTCTACTGATTTCCCCCTCTCTGTGGAATACAGTTTAAAAGATTACAAGCTTGTACTCTTTCACAAAGCCATGGACAATGTCCTATCCCTTTACTAGTTTCTTATTGAGTGGATGGATTCCTATATCCATGATGTCAGCCTGCATTGTGCCTGTTGCAAGCAAAGCACCTCCTAGTTCCCTTCCATGTTGTCCCTTACTGTGGGGAAAGTCCCTCACAAACACAAGGTCTCCATTTTTATTTGTCTGAATATCCTTCCTTAAAAGCTTTTTCTTTTGTACAGTACCACTCAAAGCAGGACAACAGTGTCTTCTTACTGCTCTTGAGTCCTTTAATAGATGCTGTCTCATCAATTTTCCTTTCTCTGATTGATGACTTTTGCTGTACCTAAATTGCAAGTTGTTGGAGACATGGATTCCTGTATTTTTCTTTGTGCTTGCACAGCATGAAGCCCAGTGGGATCTCAGGCCTGACATTACAATGTCTATATGCTAACACAAATACTAAAATGAGCATCTTCATGTGGAAAACACTATTTAAATATCTACTATGAATAGTGGATGAGGTTTCATACTTAAGAATAATTGGGGCAGTAACACCGTTAAAAACAGGTTTGTGGTGTTTAATCCTCAGGCATGACTTATCAATTGAGAAATTCTGAATAAAAAAGGAAATTACTAAGCCTGGGTGACTTTCCCTGTCACTGTTGTGGTGAAAAGGATATGTCCAAGCTGGTCTGCTTTAGTTTTCTTTTTCCCAGCTGACCAACCCATCTGCTTAGCCATCTTTTTCCTGTTGTCTACACTTCTAGCTCTTGCTCTCCCCAGATTCCCACCTTTCTTGTAACCTCTCTCAGTGGTTACACATGCTTTTGTGACTGGTGTGGTTCCCAGCCATCCACCTGCAGATCCCACCCAGTTATTCTGCTCCTTGCTTACCAGCCTGGGAAGCAGGTCCTCAGTGCATCTGTCTGTTGGGACTTTTAGCTGTTACCTGGCACGGTAAGCAGTTATACTTCATCTGAATTAATGACAGCAGAAGGGACGTTTAAGGCATGAAGAGATGTTCATAGATCTGAGAAGGTAGTAATTAATGCCAGAGTCAATGATGCCTTAGCAGGGTCACACCTCTACTGTCTGATCTGACCAACCTGCCCATTAGTTCCAAGTGCAATTCAAGGGATTAGCTTTGACCTGAAAAGGCCCAAGAGATTATATTTCTACATGTACAATTCAACACTTTTTACAAAGCATCTCATGAAAGGAAGTGGGGAAATCAGATAGGTTCATTTTTGAAGCTTCATTCGTCTTTTATGTAAGCCAAGAATTTAGGTGCCTTTGGTATTACAATCCTTTACCCATAAACAAAATAATAATTAAAAAAAAAAAAGGTATTGGGAGCCCTTTGGATTTTGGCGTAATCTTTATGGCATTTTCATGATTGCACCGCTGAAGGCTTGGCAATACCAAGCAGCACATTGTGGTAGTCTATTTTAAACATCCTGAGCCCATAAGGGGAAAGGGGAGAAGGGGAAGTTTAGAAGCCATAGTATAAAACCTGTTGTAGCTGCCATTTTCTGAACAGTAGGTCTATATTTTGAAATGTCATTATGACACTTGTTTGCAGATCTCATCACTTTCAGGTCATAAGTAGCT